TACTTAATGCCTTCCACTCATTCGTCTATCGTCTCTTTATTTTTTCAACATTTCGCTCTGTTATGGAAGCGTTAATTAGAAAACTAGAAATCTTGTACGAGATATAACAATTTCGGGACAGCCTGTGTAACGGATATAACGTGGGACTAAGGTAATAAGTAAAAATCGTTAGAAAGACGCTGCTACCTGTTAGAACACGGCGCAAACTTCTTAATTAATCCTATTAATTAGGCGCACAGTTACCGTTACACTCGAGGAAGATTCGTTACGACTATATGAAGCTGCGAGACGTGCAGAGATTACGGCTAGAACGAGCGAAACGACGTCTCGTTTTCCTCTTTCTAATTCGGTCTGCAATAATAACGAGCCAACGTAAACGTGTAAACGTAGTTGAATTAAGAAACGTGGTGCAATTTGTCGAGACTGGCGAAAGAAAAGGAGGAAAAAGACGATCAGAATGGAAGAAACGAGTCGATTGGTGGATTCAGCTACGGAAACGGGTCCCCATGGAACGCAATTAAGTGACGTAATGAGATTCTTGCGATGACTATGCTGGATCGGCATCTTTTCAACGTATACTCGCGGTTTCGTGCGAAATTTGGAAATGGTTCGAATTAAATGAACATTCCTGCGAGCGTGAAAGAAAATCGGATACCGTTCTTACACCTAATTAAACTCCAAAGCTCCGCTTTGCAAGCTGGCGCTTTCTCATCGATTCTTTCCGTCCTCCCTTTTTTACTTCCATCAAATTCAAATCCTTTCCGCCTATCGAGGAGATCACGTTCTTCGGCTTTGCAACGATTAGCGACGTTCGACAGCTCTTTCTTCTTCAAATTTTCCAGCAATTCGATCACCGTAAAATCTCGCAATTCGCTTCCATTCAGAAATTGTGAAATACTTTGAAAAAATATCGAAGGATGCGTAACCGCAATTAAATTTTTCGCAATCAATTATCGTCGCATACGTGTATTCAGTGCAATTGGAAATAGTTAATTAACCCGTCACCGATAAAGATTACTCGGGCACAGAAATTATCCTACGTCACTTCGACCTATTTCTGCTCGTTCTTCTTTTTCACCCCTGCATACAATTTACGAGAAGAAACTCTGTAATTAGAAATTCTCCCGTTTAATTTCTACTACTCTACGGTATCGTTCAATTTTCCGAGTCCGTGCATACGAAGAAAACAAATATTGATTCAAACAGTTAAATTTTTTACATTTCGGTATGAAAGAAATTGAAAAAATAACGAAAATATGTTTTTGTTCCATTTTGTTTTTTGATTAGCCTCGGAAGGATTTGTCCATTTCATTCCCTGCACAGGGACATGGTCATTTACAGAAGTATCACTTAACTGCCGAACGAGTTGACGCTAGTTTTACTGATAAACGAACGCAAATTACACCGCAAAACTCGACTTTAACACGAACTTCCGAGAGTAACTGGTACATTCTGCCGCGATAACGAACCGTTCGTAGCTCTTTCCCTACCTCTTACAACCACCAAATAGAATTTTGGAAAAAAGCAAATTTTCTTTACGATTCGAATTAAGAGAATGGATTTTGAATTCACAATTGGAATTGGTGTAATTAGAAATAACCAAGTTTAACGAAAAGAGGTCAATTTGAATATTTTTCAATTTCATAATTTCACATTCCACGCATCTATCTACTTATCTCTCGTACTCGTTAAGTACTTGGCAAACAAAATTTTAAAACGAATACCGAAACCTGCGCTATATTTAAACGAAATTTACGGCGTTGCAATTATAGAGAGGAAAAGAAAATAACTTCTGAGCAAACTGTAAACACCGTGACTCACAAATCAATAAAAAGTGAACAAATTAATTAGAAATAATATTGACACAACAAAAATAAGTTGATTTAAACTGAATTTTTTTTCATTCGATAACCTCGTAACCCGTTCGTTACCTAATAAACTGAAGTGTAAGTTATATTTAGACTAAATCTTAACCTATGTTAAATTTACGACAGACATTAGAATTACAAATCAAACGTTCAAGATAAAATTGAAAACATCTCCTTGGAAAGTTATAAACATCATTACGACAGAAGCAGTAAAACAACCTCTCCACTCTTTCAGCGTTAAATCGTTTCCATAAACAGATTAGCATTTCAGAAGGGAAACGTTAGAATAAATGTACATATAATAGTGTTTACTGACAAACAGCACGTGGTCAGTGTTCTCTCGTTGGAGCGTTTTACTACATGCGGGCACAGTCCTACTGTGCCATGAGCATCGAGTTGGCCAGGTCCGTCCTAAAAGGATTTTCGACTCCAGCGGACCACCCGTATTTTCAAAATCGTAAATCTACACCGCCGTGTGAACGAATAGTGGTCGCATTGTATTTTTTGGGTCAAGTTCCGAATCGTTGGCGCCGGGCCGCACCACGGCGCACCCATAAGCCCACGCAGCAAAGTGGGCCGAAATCTTTATTTGAAAAACTCTATTTCCGATAATCTATTACCGATCCGTTAATCAAGTTGCGGTCTCCGCATTTGAATGATCCTTCGAGGACCGCTGCTGACAAAAGCATTCTAGAATCTAGACTAGACCGTGCACCTTGTTTATCCGTTTCGAAACTCCACGTCGAGGTGTCGAAAACTTGCACGTTTTCGGGTGAAAGCACGCGAGTAAAGCGGCTATCGTTCGCTCGCGACTTTGTCGCTTTAACTTCGAATTACTTTTCACAAGTCACGTAACCAAATGCGATTCGTTTAAAATTCTACTTTTCAGATACTTTCGAAACGACGGATGGAGACATAAGGCGGACGATAGACGATTTCGTTTGGGAAAGTTCGATGCTTCGATCTCGAACATGTCTCGAAATAGAAGCGAATAAATACGGATTATCTGATTGTAAAGAAAGGCGAGTCTGTCGCATCAACCTAGAGACACAAAGACCAGGTAATTCCTATCGACATCGACCTAATTTTCTAGGAGACTGTCTCACCAAGTAAAACGGCGAAAGTTTTTGGTAACTGCTCGCGCGCATATTTTCCTTAAAACTTGCTCCACCGAATTACCTTCCACTCGCGTTAAGCGTTGAAACTTTTCGTAAAAACACCCGTCGTCGCGATAACATTAAATTTTTCTCCGCGTCGCGACGGGAAAAGCTTTTCGAACGTGTCTACAACATTCTCCCCCTTTCTACTCGTTATCCATCGAACTGAACTTTACTTTCCTTAATTAGAGAACGAAATATCTCGTGGATAGAAAGGAAAGATTTAATCTCGTTCAGTTTCGTCGGTCCTCCCTCGTCCTCCCTGGACGAGGGAGGGTCCTCGTAGTTAAATTGAAAACGCGTTCGACGATTTTGTCGGTGGGCATGCATCAAGCATCTAATAATACGATGCTCAGTGAAATTGCGACCCAGTTAGGCTTTGACCCACTTGGTTGCACCGTAATCATCGTCGAGTGCTCTGCACGGATTGATATTGCAGGTAAACACGGCTCTCGTTTGCATGGGGACAGCAGCTTGCTTGCTTTCCTTCCTACGATCTCAAAGATCTATATATCTGTCTTTCAAAGATATTTTCATGCAATTAACGCGTCTCGTCAAATTAAAAGTAATCCTTTCTAGGCGATAATCTTTGCTACTTCGATACCTTCAACCATCGAAATATCATCATTTTTTTTTTTTTTTTTAATTTCTTTAAAATATCAACGCGAATCCAGTTTTCCAGTTCGTAGTAAAAATTTTGGGAAAGATATCAGAAGAGTTAACGTTCTCCATCTTTCACTACCGCGATTTATGCACACAGACTTACCTAGTTGGTCAACTGGACAAACAAAGTACCAAAGACCGGCTTAGCGGTGACAAGGAGCAAGATAAATGTTTTACTGCAAGATAGCCAGTGTTTGAAATTATCATTTCTACTTCGGGAAGATGGTTATTTTCAACTCGAACGATAAGGGTCTTTATAGGTGAGATAGGTAAGCGCAGTACAAAGAGCAGACAGCAAGGGGAATAAGGCTAGCAGCCTTACACGCAACCGATGCGTCTCGCATCTATAAATAGGGTTAAATCCCGAAGAAGAACGAACACGTCGCTAGTGGTAAAACGACCACCGAGGTTGTTCGCGAGGTCACCCTAGGTCGCGAATAAATTAAATATAGGAACGCCTTGATAATCGTCACCATCTCGAAATCAACTTCGATCACGTAACATCGCGTCGCTAGGCTCCATTTTTCACTACTTTTATTCGATAGACGACATCGATGATTTACCTGTGCAAGTTACAACGCGAAAATGATCACGGTTCATCATCGTAAACAAGATAATAAATGTAGAAGAGACGAGCGAGTTGTCAAATTTCGAATTGCAGCAACGGGTAGCCGAATGTTTTTGGGGCATCTGTTGCGCACGTGAGTTACGAGCTAGCCTTAAGGTAGCGTTCACACAGTCTTCCGTTAACCGATGCGACCTGAAGTTTCCGCGAGCTGGCACATTATCGCATGCTCGCTACGTCGAACTTTCGTAAAAACGTCCTATGAAATCCGATGAAACCGATGAGACGCGAAATTCATACATTTCACCGATAAAATTATATTCAACATTTTTCAATGAATACTTCTACTGTCCCGCTATATTCCAGATGATAAACACGATCGGCGTCACGTACGGCAAACGGTCGCTTTATTATTGTTTACACTGGAAACGATACCCGCGATACAGAGACAAAGGAGCACGATTTAATTTATGTGCTTTCATTTCATACTCCAATAGTTTTAATTACATGTACGGGTACGTCAGCATATTTGCACATTCGAATAAAAGGAAATTGAAAAAAGAATGAAAATTATACAGATTTCGATTATCCTTCTGTCAGTTTCCGCGATTTTGTATTGTGAGCAGGTTAAAGAGAAAGAAAAAATGCTATACATTGACGCTATGTTGGAAACTTGGAAAAATGTTTTTACAACTCTTTTGGGACGCATAAAAACAAGGGAAGAAGAGTAATAATATAATGACTTACCTTTTCAAGACACTCCTGACCGATGGCTTTAGGGTCGACTTGCACTTCGAGGATGACGGAATTGGCTTGACTAACGAGACACCACATCTTGTCAGGTTGTATCCAAAGACGTTCGTACACACAGCCCTGCTTTCTTGCCGAAACTCGCGATACGACTCCGAAACGGCGGTGATAAACCAAAAACCAAAATTCACGTTCACTAAACTTTCGACAAGCGCATCTAAAACGATCTCTTCTCCGGAATCGCAGTTGGTCGGCGACCGGTTCTACCCGGTACGTTCTTGATCATAACAAATTTAAAACCCGTACTCGTGCACAGCTGTCACTGCGTGCTCACACACGACTTCGTCCATCGGCAACGTGCTCGCACTCGTATTACTCGGACGCGTTTCGTCGGCTTCCATTTCTCGGTGCAGAATGGCACACGTACTGACCGCTCCGCGCTGCCAGGATTAGTTCGCGAAATCGAATCACCTTTCAGTCTCTGTAGCGTGGCGCTAGTGTTGTAAACGCACCACACACGCACTACGCGCAATCCAACGTACCACTGTCTTCTCTGAACACGATCCGTTCGGTAAGGGAAGGTTAGGTTTACACAGCTGATTCCCCCTCCATATTTAGAATAGTTTCTTTTCCATCTGAACATCTAACCAATTGCGATAAGCGTGAACAGAAGCGGCCAATTACTTTGCAACTAAAACTGCGCATGCGTCAAACGCAAACAGCCAAAAAACTTAAAATTGCGAATGACAATGATTATTGAATTAACAGTCATTTTACAATGTATTTCAAACTTTGTTAATAAATTACAAGCAAATGTCTTTCAATTGTAGTTTTTAAGTTGTATCAATAATAAGTCTTACGATTAACGCGCTTGAAACTTTAAATACTACGGTACATATGTAAAAAATCGCAAAACGTTTTATGTAATAATTACGTAGATATATTATGCAATCGTAAAGGCAAACATTGACAATATCACATTTTTTTCTTTTCCACGAAACGCAAATCATAATGAAAGCATTTCGGAAAGATTTAAGGTATCAATTACGAAACGGATTAGCCTTAAGTGTTTTTATTTTTGAACATTAATACTGTACAGATGAAACAGCTTACAGGTGCAGGGTGTATATGTGGGGTATAATTTTTCTTTTTATAAATTAACAATGTTTAAAAATTTCAAACAAAACAAGTAGTACGTGCAGTATACATCATCACGAGAATCACGTTTGATGGGAAGCTAAACTGTAATTCTTGGGAGGCTGTATGGTACTTTTTAAGCGCATTTTATACCCTTGATATAGCAGAATTATGGAATGACATCTAACAACATGTGCTCAATGATGTACAATTTCTTGCTACCACCTTGACCTAAATTTTAACATTTACACGTCATCCTAATATATCTAAGCCTTGATATATCACAATGACAAAAATTCGTTCAATACGTTTGTATTACAATAGTAATTTAACTACAATGATCTTCAAACTTTCCAACATGGTGGTAAAGATACAATTACATTTGCTATAGATACAATTACATTTATTGTCGTGAAGTAATTGCGGAAAAGGACTATAATAATAATAATTCAAATACCACCATCTAAGATTAAGAGATATACACTATTTGCAATAAAAGTACAACATAATGATGAAAAATACGTTTAAAGATATGATAAAGGAAATTACTTAATGTACATTCATAGCATATGATGTAGTATTTATAATTAACCCATATATTTCTTGAAACTTAATGATCAAAACGGTAATTCTTGTGTAATTGTGGTTTAATCTCATATGCCAACTCCAAAATTTTAAGCATAATCTGTAAGACACAAAATATTTTTAGTAAAATATTTTAAACTAATGAATTGTTGTACTTCAGTGAGTCAAAATTTTATTTCAACTTACAGCATTTTTGTGCATTGCCACAGCTTTATTCATTTCTTCAATTTTTATTTTTGTATCAGCTTCTATGCGTGCTGCTACATCCTCTTTTGATCCCATATGCTAAGCAACAATAAAATAAGATAGATGTCTTTGTTTTACAGTCATTACAGCCTAGAAACATTTGATTTGAAGGACTATGTTATGTTAAAAATCAATCACCTTAGCTTCAAATTCACGGAATTGCTTTTCCCGTTCTTGCCTGTACTTTTCAATCTCATCTTGAGCTTCTTCTTTTGCTTGCTTCAATCGACGTGCTTTACCTAAGAATAGAAACAACTTATTGCTCAAATTTTATTTCGATAATTTTCATCAATTTAATTATTAGAATTTTTACACAAGGAAAATAAAATAAGCTTAAAATTTATATTTCTCGCATTACCTCTTGCATTAATAAAAGGTTAGTTTAACTTTAATAATACTCAGGTGTCATCTCGAAGCCTTTAATATTTTAAATAAAATACTACAAAACAAAAATACTACAATCTTTATCCATATAAATTCAAATATCAGTTTTCAATGCATTTGAAAGGTTACACCCATTTAAACTCAGGGTCATAGAAGAGTTTATCACAACGTGTTATGTTTAGACCGTATCAAGATTAGAGTAAGAATTATAACACTTGAACAAAAACTCACGTTTTCTAGCTTCTGAAACTTTCTCTGCAGCTCTTTTTTCAGCTGCCAAAAGTTGCTGAATACCTTGCGTTTGACTGGCCATCTTTGCAACCAACGTGAACAATGGAGAATGCTGTATTCTAAAGGAATCACAAATCGATCATATGACTTTGGAGTTTCCGTTGTTTGCCCCGCCTTAAACGATGGCGCTTTACGTTGTGCTCTCACGTGTTCAACAACTTGTAAATTAACAGATGCACTAACCGCAATTTACAAAATGGCACGAGCGTACGCTCAACAAATTGAGCTATTTCAAAAATATTAACATAGTTTTTAGGTTATATACATATATATATAATAATTAAACAATTTATATTAAATAAATTTCGTTTTATTCGTAGATAACATATTTAATGTACAATGTAATACGAATTAGTTTGTTTACAAAACGAATACAAATGTATTAAAGTATTCGATTTCCTTGTACGTTTTGTTTATTATTTAATAAAATTTTTTCTTGACGTTTCTTTTCCTCTTTAAATGCTTCAGTATTTGCTTTTCTTTCTTCTCGTCTTTCCTGAAATTAACAGAGGTTGATTAGTGACTTACACTGTACTATACAAATTCAAAATCAACAAGCTAATCCTACTTTTCTATATTCTTTCAGTGCTCTTTTTCTTTGCTTTCTTTCTTCAGGAGTTTCATTTTTTGGTCTTATACTTAATGTACTTAAAGTTGATCTCATAGTTTCTGCAATGGATTGAGGTCCCTTTGGTTTATTATTTTCATTTTGTTGATCAAACTGAGCTAAGCTTTTAGCAGTTAATTTTTCAGAACAATCTAACACGTTTCTTGGAATACCGGTTTTTGGATCGACTTTAATCTTTTGTGGCTGCTACGAAAAAAATCACAGAAATCATAACTACGTGCTAAATAAAATAAATAATTAAATAAATTATTATTGAATATCCTACTTTTGGTTCAGAAATTAACTTTGGATGGTTATAAATATTGCTGTATGTACTAATAATACTCTCACAGTCCCACTTCTCTCTTTCTCTTGCATCAACAACAAGTTCTTCTAGGCTGTTTTCATCCTCAGAACTAGAGTATTCTTTTTCCAAAATTTTCATTTTGTCTTTCATAAGTTTTGCAACATTATCAGCCTATAAAAATACAATAACGAATGACATTTTACTTACAAGTATTTTTGCAATACTTACATCCTCAGTTTGCTGTTGTTCAAATTCTGCTGCACACTGAAAAACTAATTCTGAATCTGGTGCTATATATCCTTCAATTTCATCACAATCTAAAGCACCAATTTCAGTATCATCATATGCTGCATACAACTGTGAAAATGACACTGTGTTTTATTACATAAAACAACATTTCATGACAGTAAGTACATACTTTTTCAAACTTATCATCTAGAAGTGTTAACTGTTCATTTCTTCTCATTACACTGCTACTCATTGAATATTCTGTAAAACGTGATTTTGTTTCTTCTTCTTTAAAAGTATACTGAGGGCCATTTAAACTATGTACTTCATCTTGTTCCTCATCAGATAATTCCATATGTCCTTCTGATGAAAAGTCAGATGCTTGACCTGATTCATTCAATTCATATTTGTAATATATAAAATGTTATGTATAATGTATTATTATAAATGTACCAAATACAACATACCATCATCTTGATCTTGTGGAAATTCACCATCGCTGCTGCTAACATTAGCCAATTCTATAAAATTGTCTTCTAATTGATTTTCTGGATCTTCATAATTAAAATCATCATCCATAGCTGCAACTACATCTGGATCTAAGTCTAATTGTAATCCAGAAACTGGAGCTGCTCTGTTAAGCAGTCCAACTTTTTCTTCTACATTTGATGCAAATACAGAAGATGGTAGATTAATTTTTGGAGCATCTTTATTATCATTTGTCTTTGAAGAGGTTGTATTATCTACACGTTCCCATTCAGCTGTTAAAGAATTGACATCTTTAAGATGTTGTAAATAATCATAATCATCATCAAAATATATGCCATATTTTTGCTGTTCTTTTCTGCGTTTATCTTCATCCAATTTCTTTTTCTCGACTTTAGCAGCTTGTGCATTTCCAACAGGTACAAGAACACGTTGCGGCGCTGTTTCATCAGCAATTAACGGATCTCTTTGTGATCGATGAACTAAATGAAATGTGACTGAATTTTTCTTATCGATAAATTTCTTTGTTTTTCCTTTCGGCTAAAAATTTAAAAAATACCTCATGTAAAAAATAACCTACCTCATAACATTTATACAATTAAATGTATTTTAAGCTAAAGATTTACCATTTTTGTAGAACTTTTTGTTCAATGAACAATATTAAGGTACAAATTACTGTAAAAAACTATTTTTAATTATTTGCAGAGTTAAATTCTGTTTATTAATGTGATACATGTCACACATAATATAAAAACACGATTCATCAGTGGTTCTCATGTTCATGAGAAAATTCGCCATACTAATATTACAAATTCAAACGTTTGCCCAATCTTTTCCCAAAGTATTAAAATTATATACTTATATATAGATACATAAATTATAATATTAATAATGCTTAAACTAAATATAAATTCTATAAAAAGGTTTATTTCATATTTGTTTTTAAATCTGCCCTTCTTCCTAACAGTAGTCAATATCAACAACATAGACTACTGACGTTCGATAAAGACGCAACAAACCTTCAAGGAAACATAAAACAATGGGACTCTTTGATCGATTAGCAAATCTTTTAGGTCTTAAAAAAAAAGAAGTAAATGTTTTAGTAGTGGGCCTTAACAATAGCGGTAAGTCAACGGTCATAAATAATTTCAAACGCGAGGATGACCGTTGCATAGACATAGTACCCACTGTTGGGTATAATGTTGAAAAATTTTCATGTAAGTTAAATAATGACGAGCAAACGACGTTCGATGTTGAATTGACGAGCTTACAGTTATTCTATGTTATTACTTGCACTTGCTGGTTTATTCAAGCACACAATTACATTAGGTTACAAAATTTATTTTTACAAAATATACATGAATACGAATCTGAATACATGACATATAAAACATTATGTTCCTTTTCATTTGTACCTACTTAATAATTTTATTAATAGAGTTAATCTTCACTTTATTTTGCATTTATTGTAATGTCACTAATGTCAGTGTTACTTGATATAATCAATTTAGAATCTTGCTTCTTTTCATGTTTTGGAGTACTAGTAAATGGTTGATTTTGTTTCTTGTAAACTGTTTTTTTTTTAAATGATGTTATCTTAGAAGATACATCATCATTCTTTACATGCAAGTTTGATTTATTCTTATGAAATTCCAGTTTTCTCTGCCTTGGTTTCTTTTGATTTGATTTATTAACAAGTGGTGTTGATTCTGTAATATCACTGTCATTTTCACTTTCTGAATGTTGCTTTCTATTCTCAAATTCTTGTTCTTTTTCTTTGTTTTTATCTTGAAATGATCTGGAATGTCTAGTATCTTTGGAGGTACTAGGTAAATTTAAAACATCATCAATCTTTTGTCTTTTAATTGTATTTTGTTTCTTTCTTACTTTTCTTCTCCTTTTTGAAAGTTCTAAAGATTTTTGTTCTGATAATAAATACTCCCCCAATAATCCATCATTATCCGAACAGTCTGAATTCTAAAAGTAATCATAATTATGTTAATAAAATGAAATGAATGATTTTTCATTTTAAATGAATCAGGATTTCAACATACATTCATTTCTAGTGGACTATCTTCATTTTCTTCTTTTGACCATATAAATGCTCCTTTATTCAATATTTTCTTAAATGCTTTGTATAAATGAAACTGTTTAAAACATGCTAAAGTTACTTTTAAATGTTTTATTGTCTTTGGATCTAATGTTTCCTTCGACATTGAATCTACTTTAATTTTATATGGTCTTATTTCATTAAAATTATATAGAAGATATATGATTATATCTATATATTTATCATTAATTTTATCATATACTCTCATTAGTTCTAAATTAATTTGTGTATACTGTAAATTTGCTTGCAAGTTGCAATTTTTTGTATCAGAAACAATATCCTACAAAGTAAAGAATATGTTTAATACTTCATTACATGTATCAAATTACAAAAAAATAAAAAATAGATCATTAACAGGCTTACCATCAGTGCAACAAATTGTTCATGTCGCATAAAATAACAATCATTATAATGTTTGCAAGTTTTAAAAAAGTAAGGCAAGTCTTTTAACTCTTTGATGGACAGTTCTAACATCAAATCAATCAAGTCAATTGGCATTGGCATTAACCATTTTCCTAATGTAATTTTTTCTTTATTCATTAAAATTTGTACAGCGAAAGTATTTTTTTTGTCACATTTATTTAAGGATGAAAAATTAAATACACATTCTTGTTTTGTATACTTAACACAATAAAAACCAGAATACTTATACAATGCAGATTCTAACTGTGCATCGATATTTAGAATTTTCTTAGGACTTACAGGATTAGATACCTCTGATTCAACAATACAACATTCAGTGTTTGAAAATTTTGATATACCTAAATTACATTCAGTTTGATAGATTAAAAATTTTAAATTTTCTATTTGTTTTCTCAGCTTGCTTTTTAACTCGTTTGCAGATTCTAAAATTGAACATCATAATGTAACATTATATTTGACATTAGTATTATGGGGTTAGTTTTACTAAACCAATATTATACTTACCTTTATTTGTTTCACAATCATTTTCATTATTAATAATATCGTTAATAATTGTATGCATTTCCATGTTTATATCGTATTTTATAAAATTGTATTCAGACGCTTTTAAATGATATCGCGCCAATATACACTTAATACTATCTTTACGTTCAGTGATTCTCATTCATTTGCATCGGAAAGAAACAGATAACGAAGGGGGAGGTGGTGCTGTATCAAGTTAGGAATTAATATTAAATATACTCGTTGATTGCATTACTATATTTATTATACTACTATATCAAAAAACTATATTAAGATAAGTTTAATTACGTGAAAGTATCATTTCTTTTCAGTCAAAAATGTTAATTTCACGGCATTCGATATGTCAGGGCATGATCGTCATAGATCGCTATGGGAACATTATTATAAGGATTGTCATGGTATTATTTTTATAATCGATAGCAGTGACAAATTGCGATTAGTTGTTGTTAAAGAAGAATTAGATATGCTTCTTCAACATCCAGATGTAGCAGGTATAAATTTTTTCGCTATTTTCCAGTAATAGATACATACATACGCAGTTCACCAGAGTCCATAATTGCGAAAAGACCAGTTTTCGTTTTCCGCGCACCTCCAGTGCGCATCTTCGCCCTGATTGGCGATATTCCCAAACGAAGTGGAAAGCGATTAGCGGAGAGCTCGCTGCGTTCCCCCACCATCTTCCAACCTGCGCGTCGCAGTTATGGACTCTGGTGAACTGCGGTATGTATATATTAAAAATTGAATTTTCTATATTCAAAACGTTATAGGCCGCAAAATACCGATTCTTTTTTTGGCAAATAAAATGGATCTGCCTGACTCTTTGACTACTGTTAAACTTGTTGCTGGACTCGGTCTTGATCGCATACAGAATAAACCTTGGCATATACGAGCAACAAATGCGATCACTGGAGAGGGACTGCAATTAGGCATTGAATGGCTTACAGATCAAATTCGCGACATATTCATTAATAAAAGATAAAAATAATTTTAGTGCATCGTAAAAGTTTTTGCTGATAAAACTTAATTAGATCAAGTATATATATATTCTTTTTAAACACTAAACTTTTTAAATACGATTGTAAGTATCTGGCGAAAATTTATATTCATAATATTATGATTATTTCATTCAATATTTCGAACGATAATGATTTCATGAATGAAACATTGTATGAATGAAAAACACACACGTCTGTATGTAATGCACATACATGATTGTATAGTAGCCAGCTAGGTGCATATGTAGTTAGATTCCGTCCAATAATGTTATATAAACGCGTGTTTATACCGTAATTTATGTATATGTATATTATTTATTTGTAGCTAATGTGTATTGAAATTATTTGGTAGAACATGTATTTTACAAAAATTTTGTATCTAATAAATGTGCCTGTTTTGCCAGATGGCGTTTATAGAATTTTCTCATTGCTACGTCAGCGACTACCTGTGCGTGGGATTGTATCGTATCGATCCCTGTGACGTTTGAAGGATTCATGTGGACTTGTTGGTTGTCCATTAAAATCCATTTGAAAAGTAATCGAAAAATGAAAGGAGATTACGCATTTATAATTTGTACTTTATTCGCGATTTTCTTTAAGTTCACACAGTGTAATAGTGTAAACAAGTATGCGTTACTAATGCCAAATGTTAGACCAAACAAGGTAAATGCATGTTGTCATTAAAATTTTATTCGATACTTTGCTTGTTTCCTTATGTTTTATTGGTATTTAAATAATAAAACACATACGGCATATTTTTTATAATTTTTAGGAAGAATTATATTTATGTACTCCAGTTAAAGTGGATCCCTCCCAAAATTACTATTTAACTGGTTTTGAACCAAATGCAACAATGGCAAGTGCCCATCACATAATTTTATATGGTTGTGGTAAACCTGGCAGTTCAAAATCCATATGGAATTGTGGTGAAATGGGACATCGTACGAATGACAAAGAAGAGACAATGGTTCCTTGCGCAAAAGAGTCACAGGTATTTAATATAAAGTAATAGGATACAAAAATACAATAGTTTTGTATGTAGGAATGATTAATGTATTTTATAGATATTGTATGCTTGGGCTCGAGATGCACCAACTTTAATTTTACCTGAAGGAGTGGGTTTTAAGGTTGGTGGAGATTCTCCAATAAAATATTTAGTTCTACAAGTTCACTATGCTCACATTGATCAGTTTAAAGATGGTAGAACCGATGATTCGGGTGTATTCTTGCATTATACTTTACGTCCATTGAATAAATTAGCCGGAGTTCTTTTATTGGGAACATCTGGTGCTATACCACCTAGAAGTACAACATATATGGAAACAGCTTGTACGATAAAAGAGAACAAAACTATCCACCCTATAGCATATAGAACTCATACACATTCACTTGGGAAAGTAGTATCTGGATATTTGATAAAACCAGATTATACCTGGACAGAATTAGGCAAAAGAGATCCTCTGACACCTCAAATGTTTTATCCTGTACATAATAAGGTTTCAGCTGAACAAGGAGATCAAATAGCGGCTCGTTGTACTATGCATAGTACACGAGATATTTGGACCTATATAGGTAGTACTAAAGCAGATGAAATGTGTAATTTCTATTTAATGTATTATGTTGAAAACGATGAACCATTATCCATGAAGTATTGTTTTTCCAATGGTCCTCCTGTTTATTATTGGAAAGATGCTGGACTTTTTAACATTCCTGATATAGAAGCATCCAGTTTATAAAGTCATGTTAATTACAGACATTCAGGATCGAAACTGATACGGATTTGAGGTTGTTGATAATGAAACAGAGTTTATGGAAGGATTTTGTCTATTTGTTGTAGAATAGCGCTCATTTCTTCCATGTTAGATAATAATTATTGTTCCTCTTTACAGTCTAATATATATTTTTATTTAATTTAAATTTAGTTTTATTAAAGATACTTTACATCCGAAGAATTGTATTTAGCTAGCTTTAATTATACTGTGTATGTATCAAAGTGGGGTAATTGTACCATGTGAAAACTAATTTTAAACAGGTTGTATATCATACTAGGCCTAAAAATAGTATGTAATCTTATTGTTCTTCTCATTTGTTAAATTTCGATTGGGATTAATCGTTCACGCACAGATAATGCATTTTGTATATGTATGCGCGTAGTTAATCCTATTTTTTGTATGTTCTTCTGAGCTGGTGGAAAATTATTTATTTGTCTCTAATTTATTTTGCAAAACTTAAAAGAATTTTCTGTTGTGTATTTAGTTTATTTTAATTGTGTTTGTACATAGAATTAGCCTGTGGTACTTAAATAGCATTTTTTTTATTATTCATTCCAAAAAAGAAATTATTAAAAAAATTTCAACCGTTATTTCTGTGACACTTACTATTAATGAGATGCGCATTAATATAAGATGGAACAGTTACTGTTGAATTGTATACTGACATAAGTTATTATAACTAATAATAATTTTTTAAACTGAACAGTATTTTCGAAGTGTACGCAAGAGAATATTTTTAAACTTAAACGACTGAAAGTAAAACATAATCATGACGTACCTTGACGCGATTTTACTCTACGTACCGATAAGTGTAACAAATATAAATTATTTTCCAAGTTGTGCAGAGAAGGCGCGAATGAGTTTCTATGAATTTAATATTATACTTATTCCCTAATAAATCATGCTTATATTGAAAATTGTGAATTAATTAATTTCTTTTTATTCATCTACATTGCTCTTTCAATTTGATAATTGTAATCAGCTAAATGGATTGCGAGGTATTTTGTCCGGTAAAATGGGGATCCCCTTTTAAAAAGTATGTCGATGAACGTGGACGTACGTTTTTGGAAAACAAATGAACGGAGAAAGTGCAGCGAACATGTCGAAGAATCTAACGGAGGTGTGGTTCAACACATCACATCTATCGATGCGTCTCCGTTAGAGAAACTATCAATCTTTTCCCCAGTCTCCGATTGCAATTCCAATGCTCGTTTGAACCTGTTAATCATTTACTACCCGAACGATTCGTAATTGAGCGGTAGAAATACTACAAGCGTATCAAATTTTTAAAAGTCAATTAAACATACGTAGCCATATTTTACTGTTTACTTGTATGCATTACAAATAATTCAAACGTGAACTGTGCTATCGAAATTGTAATTGTAATACGAGTTTGTGAAAGTAAAATTGACACGCGGCCTCGCCTCGGTTCGTTCCGTATTTCCGGTCCTCTTGTAAGTAAGTAACCATATGTACGAGTACTTTCGTCGAACAAGTCTCGATCGCTCTCTTTCGACGAAAAACCAAGGTCAGGAATGATCCTTAATAAGAAATTAAAACAAGTACTTATATATGTACTTTTAGTTTATCACCTGATACATTACGTTTTATCGATACAACGAAGGTGAAGCAAAAACAATCCTTTCGAATGGTATTCATTAGATTTCCGCTCGCGTAGACAACGTAAATAGATGACAACTTTGTACAGCATATACAGTTTATATTTAAGAGAAAGTTAATCGAATATTTAGTATGGTAATCGCGACGAATTTTTTTTCTTTAAAACGAAATATTTAACTTTCGTTCCAGATTTCGTAACGCGTACCATCGAAAGGAAAACGAACTCCAGAATGACAGGAATAAATTGTTGAAACTCTCTCTTTACACTAATGGAATGGATTTTCTTGATTTTAGCAATACGTTATCCTTTCACGCGGGTCAGATGGTTGCAATCTCTTTTTCGCGAATCCATACTCTTCCTGGAGGGAAGGGTTAAAGGGAAATTGATAGCTACCACCTATGTAGGTGGTTCGAGATTCCGAGGGGAGCGATAATGAGTCAATGAAAACGGGACGTCACGCGCGCATAAAAGTATCATCGTTGGTAAAAGCATGTCTCGTCGTTAGGAAAGCGACTGGAGCACATGCAGCCCGATCGGTTGTAGGTATGCTTTGGAGGCAACTTCGAAAGTAAGGCCTCGATCACGTTTTCTTCGATGTCAGCTTGCCGCACAAACTAAGTAGACTTTGGCACAACCTTTGTTTCCTTATTCTTTTTTCTCTCTATCTCGTCAACCAACAAGAAGAGGCCGTGATTTGACCGTCACCTCGTGTACTGCTTCCATCCATACGATTAAGATCATATCTTAAACACTGATAAGTGTGAACAGGCTGGTTTGCGTCTCGGTTTTCAACTCGTCTCCTGCGCATTTGCACAAGGAGACGTAATTTTTTATTGCAAAACTTTATTTGTAAATACGCTGCCCATTAACGGCAAACGAGGCTACATTCATTGACTCGAGCCAGCGTATTTGTCAATGTGGCACATCTTCGAAGAATTCCTGTGAAAATAAATACGCGTTAACGCGATTACCGGTACAGTAGAAATAGCTAGTGCTGCCAGATGAAATTTTAACCATACGGAAGATTCATTTTTTTAATTTAACGCCTTGATTCCATTGCATTAAAGCAGTGAACGTGCTCTCAAACGACTCGACTTTTCAATATCTTTCCGTTCTTTCCTCCGTATTATTTTTCTCAATTGCAGCAAACCGTTTGCACTCGTGATCCTTCGTTTCCTCAACAGCCAATAATTGGTATTCGTGCTTTATCTGGCAGCGAAATATTCGCTCGGAAATAGAACGGAGCAACTCGTTGAACTGTAGGTACTCATTCGTACTTTACACCACTCGAAGGGTTATTCTGCTGTTGTAACAAATTTTACTTTACATTTTATGGGGATACTAGCACTTAGTAGTCTTCTCCCCTTTCGGAAAGGAAAAATAAATAAAAAGGCAAGGAGCGTTGAAGAGATATTGTACATAGAAAGACTAGGGGATGCCGCATCTATAGGGTTGAAGTGGAAGCGGAAGCGGAAACAGAAACCGGCAGGGTGCTAACTCGGCAGTTTGTGGAAGATTCGAGGCGAGAGGGTGATGGAAAGGAGAAAGAGCAAGAGAGAAAGGGGCAGGCGAGAGAAGAGAGATGTAGCGATTGGTTAAGCCGGTTGGAAAAGCCCGCCTGGCTGCTCAACCGGCCGGCACTTTGCTCAGTTCTCCACTGCGCTCCGAACGAACCGGAGCTTTCGCTAAACGAATTTCTCGAGAACCCCGCGACTACATCATTCGATAGTATCGCAACGATCGATCGATCGATCGATTTTACGAATCCTCGACGACAAATCGCACTTTCTTCGACTCCAGTTCACTTTTCCATCAGACTATTATTTGGAATTGTTCGTTAACACACACCCCTACTGTCTTCGTTTCTTCGTTTCCTCGTCGTCGACATCGACGACCTGTGTTCCTTCGAGGACAAGAAGGAACGAAAGAGGCAATAGAAGAAGAAACTATGCCTATGGGCGAACACGCGTCGGTGTTTTCGGCTTGAGGACGATAGAAGAATCGAAGATTGCAGTTTACACGAAGAAGATATTGCTGAGAGGAAAAGAGGAATTTGCTTGAAATTACGGTGAGTTTTTCCACTTTTCTTTATTTCTACTATTACTTCGTCGGGTCGTATAAACTTCTACAGAAACGTGTTATCTGTATTATCGAGCATTCGAGGATGTATTTAATAGAGAATTTCAAATTAGAATGAAAGAAATGGTCAGATTATTTACATAATTACGACACTTTATTCTGGTACAATTTACACAAGCGAAAACTCGTTCTCACTAATGCTTTCCATTAACAAGAGGTCTGCACACCCGAAACTGTTGGCAGAGGATCGGATCGTTTCGGAGTTTGTGCTCGTAAAAGTAATTTACGATGTGTCGCGTTAATCCAAGTTCAAAAATTGTATTTAAAGAAAATTTGTTCTAATGAAAAGGGAATGAATTTTTTTTGAAATATAGTGCTGTAGTTTTCACTTATACTCGAAGGGGTAGCTTTCCATTACGGATATTTTTTAGTCTGTCTCGGTAATTTTCCAGCAAAAAATGTCACGGTTTACGTACGTCGTATGCGACACGACGAAATGCTGGCTCGCAAATTCGAAGAGTACGACACATCGTGAATGTAAAGTGTAGTACAGACTCCTGCGGAATGTCATTTATCGGTCATTCAAATCGAAAGGCTCGGTTTCACGATTTGCGGTCTTGTTTGCTCGTGCATATCCTTAATTGCCTCGGTTTGCGGACCTATCGATTGCTCGCGTTAACACGATCTTGAATTCAGAACGCGAAACCGCCTCTTGATTGGCATTAATCGCTTAGGCACGTGCGCCCGATGTTGATCTCGATTTACCCGAAAAACAGAAGGGACCCGAAGAATATCGACGCGTTTCTATTGAAAAGCGAACGTGAAAAAACAGTTCGAAACGCGGTACCTTAAAAAATATCGAATTATCGTTTTATTCTTTTTCAACGGCATAGAGAATCGGGTGTCGACGTCGAAGCAAAGGTTTCTTTCACGTTTGAATACGAATCGCGACACGAGCCGTGACATCCAGTTGGCAAGCTTTTACTGAAATCAGCTCTTTCATGCGGATCAGCCTAAACGTCGTCACGGATAACGTATATAGAAACTATTCGAACTAGGTCGCCACCTTTTTTCCTTCGTACCGCAACAATGCTCTGTTCCTATCCAATCCGGCAAACTCTTGGCCCGCAGGAAATTGCATCTGTTTTATTGGCATTCTGCTCGTGTGCCAAAGTTTCCTTTCCGCTCTGTTCCCTTGTACCGTCTTCCTCCAGCGAAACTGATCGTTTCGATGGTGCGCAAGAAAACGAGAGTTTTCCTAGTAAAACACATTTTACACTGTCTTCAAACTCAATAATGATTAAACATTCTATGGAGAAATTTATAACAGCGTGATCCTCCTTGTTAATTGGTTTTCCGCATGAAAGTCTATTTAAATGATGTCGGTCTGTAGGGTGTCGAGTATGATACGTTTAGCGAAACTCGGTCGAAGATTTTATCGAAACTTTAATATCCTCATCGAACACGTAGTGGAGTTTTTCGATCGATGCATCAAAAGTTGGCAAACTGCTTAATCTCACCGTCGAAACGTAGTCGGTTCGGTATTCTTTCGATACATACATAAGCCCATACGTACATACGTGTGTACACATAGGCGTACACAGTTGCCGGTTTAATGTACGGTGTCCCATAAGGTTCATATATCTCTCTTTACAACCAGGAAACGAGTATGGTCCCTTCGCAACGAGGCACATTCATAAATCCAAAGGGAAGCCGACCTGGCTGGAAAAACATACTTGTTCCACCGACCTGCTCGCGTATTTTCTGCACCACAATTTTACCTTTTTCACTGTACGAAACGAACAAACTTACCTACCACAAACGAGAATTCTTAATCGCCTCGATGTAGTTGGAATTATATCGGAAAGGATAGAAACCCCACTCGACGTTTCACGAATCTTTCCTTACTTTTCAACGATTCAATTTCCTGCCAGCGAAATCCTTTGTATCGTCAATTTTTCAACTCTTTATCCTTCTACAGAGCCATCAATTTCATCGAATCTTTAGTGACAGCAGTTGTTCAAACGACTCGCTACTCGACAGATGAAAATTGTGGCTCTTAATATTTTTATTAAACTTGAAAAGTGGTAATAATTTTGCTTTTAATGAACAGTCGCAGTCGATTCGATGCAATTCTGAATTTCCTGACCAGTTGGTCTATCTACTCGTTGCATTTTTTTCGAATTCTCTGCGAACGCTTGTTATCTGTTGGAGCAA